GTGGAACGCGCAAAGACGCAACGCTAAATTTTCAAAATTTTTTAAGTGAGAATTTTATTTGTAGTTTTTCAGTTTGTTTGATGTTAAAATGCTAGTACTTACAGATGGTCTTCCATCCATCTTCAGGCATGTGTTGTTTATCTTATAAAATCAAAAATGTAAAATAGAATATATGGATTTAACACATCACAAGAAATATTTAAGTAAGTAAGTACTAGCATTTTAACATCAAATAAACTGAAAAACTACAGACAACAAGTTTTTCTTCAAGGATCAAAACTCGCACTCTGGATGAACAGGATTTTAATGCATATATTATGTTTTCTAGCGATGGATGTCGCCAATAATCGCATTAATACTTCTGATTAATTCTATGTGTGATTATTCTTTGTATGTAAATCATATGCTGCCTAATGTTTTATGTTTATATATATATATATATATATAATAGAAGGCTTCTCACGCTCGCTATCGTTTCGCAAAGTAAGATATATTCACTACTTGAATTCTTTGAAACAAAGCTTTTAAATGAACATTCCATTCATAAATTGGCCTTTTATAGTTAAGGAAAGTTTTACAAATAGATGCCAACTTGTCGAAGGCCAAGTAAAATGCAAATTTCAAACAATTTTCTGCCCTAATATTCCTAAAAATAACTATTTGTGATATGAAAATCAAAACAATCCTCAAATGAAAGAACAGAAATGAAGTTAATTATTGAAATAAACTTTTTTTTTTAAATCAATGTACAAATTAATCAGTGTTTGTGGCTAGCCAAGTTTAAATCTAAGACAGAAGAAGACCGTCCGTTTTTACCATTCCCCTTTTTTGGCCTTGTGCCACATTTTCTCTATTGGAAGTGGAAATAAATATCGCTCTCTCGAGTGGTTTGTAACACACTGATACTTACCGGGCACAGGGATCCGTCCCTATGCTGGTAGTATCATGGTTCTGACCACTTTGGACATGCTATGACCAGCTGAGACCAGTCGGACATGCTATGACCAGCGGCACGAATGAAGGCACCCGGGTACTCACGTTAAAAACTGACTTTGTGTCACAACCTGACTCAGTATGTGTGGGGGGCGTCAAGTCAATACAAATCGCTCTCTCGAGTGGTTTGTAACACATTGATATTTACCAGGTACTGGGATCTGTCCATCTGCTGGTAGTATCATGACTAGCTTAGACTAGCTCTGACAAGCTTGGACAGGCTATAACCAGCTAAGACCAGCATCGTCCCGAGTGAAGACACTCGGGTCCCCACGTGAAAAAGCGACCTTGTGTCACAACCTGACTCAGTGGAGTGGGGAGTAAAAGCAAATTTTACTTACGAGTAGTTTGTAACACCCGATTTATGATCTTTCAGTTGCGTCTCTGTCTTTGAACAGATTGCGCTCAGGGGCTGCACCGTCGAAGAAGAGAATCGTAAATGAGGATAATTATGCTGAGAGGTGACCGACGCCGCGCCACTCATTGCAGTAGAGAGACGGATCGGTGCTCGCCGAAGGTTGCGTGGGTACGAGCAATTTTTATCCCTAGCCCGGGTGTACGGGCTCGGCCTCCCCACATTAAATCGACCTTGAGTAACAACCCGACTCTATGGGGGTCGAGTAAATACCAAATTGCTATAAAGTAGTTTGTAACCTATTATTTATCATCTCTAAGTTGCGTTTAGTGGCAGCTCCGTCAAAGGACAGAGTCGCAACTAAGGAAAATTATACTGAGAGAGGCCCAGCCATAGGGAACAGCTGCCTGTGGCCACCCCCTCTCATTGCACTAGAGAGAGAAATCGGTGTTTCCACTCCGGCCAACACCAACCGACTATTGCGGGAGCCCAGGGGGATATTTGTTCCTAGGCTGGGTGTACGCGCTCAGGCTCCCCACATTAAACCAACCTAATGTCACAACGCGACACCGTGGGAAGTAGAGTAAATACCAAATTACTATAAAGTAGAATTATTTATTTATCATCTTTCAGTTCGGGCAGAGTTCGTCTCATTTGCGGCTCCGACGGAGAACAGAAGCACAGCTGAGGAAAATCATACTGTGTGGTACCCAACCCTGAGGAGCAGATGCCCGAATCTGCACCCTCTCATTGCACCAGATTACGGTTACGGGGGCTCGGGGAATTTTTGTCCTTAGCGAGTTTACGCGTTCGGGATCCCCCACATTAAACCAACCTCGTGTCACAACTTGACTCCGTGGGGGTGTCAAGTAATTATCTACTGTAAAGTATAGCTGGGGCTTTTTGATCTCAGAATTCGTGGGAGAACTGAGCTCCAATTTATTCATATAGATACCATTATACAGGTTTTGCTGAATTAGCTATTATGTTTCTCTTACTCTTCAAATACTGAATGTATAATTAATTCTAATTTCTATTTTCCAATTTTTGCATTATATTAGTTTTATCTTATAAATTATCCCCTGTTCTATCACCCGTGAAATAAAAAATAATTTTTTGTACGAAAACAGTGGCCGCAGAAGAATTAACGTTGAACTTTTAAAAGGTAAGCTTAAACATTAATTCAATACTTAAATTCAGCGATCAATTTTGAGTTCTTCTGTAGTTTATTGATGCCAATCGCATCTACTCCTCCCTAGCTATTGTGATGATGGCGAAACGAAGAGTCCTCCACGGGATCTAGCTTAAATACCGCCCGATCGGCGGAATACAATGGAATACAATGCTTCCTCAGTTTAAATGAAAGAAAGACAAAATTGTATGTGAGGAAAATGTCTTCTGATGTTTTGGGTATTATAAATCAAATTAATTACCCTAGCTTATCAATGTCCAGACTTGGAGAGTGTCTATCTATCTGTGGGCTTGCTTGTTTATCTATATCTGTATTTGAACCGTTTGGTATTTTAGGAATTTAATCCACCCAAGAATATACATATACTGGAGCCTTTCGTTTGCTGCATACTTGCAGATACATGTACACATATACATGTCCATCGATATATACTTGTACATATATACATACATACACACGCATACATTATAGTTGCTTTTTATATGTATACGTATCACACATATTCATACATACAATTATTTATATACCAGGTTGTTGTGTCGTGGCACAATAGTAAAAATAAGAAAATCAAGTCGAAGTTGGTTTAAAGAACAAGTATATTTAACATCACAGATACAAAGGTAGGAAACGGGTACTACTCAGCTAGGCAGTTGTAGTACTGTCGCTGCTTACACCGGGTAGGTATTACTGGCACTATATATAGTGAGAACCGGTGTAATTCCCTTGTGTTAGAGGCCGGTGCAACAGCAAAATTGTCTACATCGTGTAACAGCATTTTTGTCTACCCCACAATATGTTTAATATCTAAAAAAAAAAAACATTAAACTAATTGACGTTTAGATATCTTCACACCATTTGGTTATAAGAATCACTGAAAAAGCTTTTTAAGTTATTCAGCTAGAAAGAGAACAGGTGCAAATAGTTTCATGTCAGCCCCACTGTTTTCCCGGTTCAGCAATGGTGAGAGGAAAAAGATCATTGAGGCCCTTCAGTAATGGTACCAACATTCATCTTCTGGCTTCCATCTTCAAAGTCCATTCAAGAATCATCAAGAGAACGGTGAATAAGTTTTAAAAAGAGGGAAGAGTAGAGAGGAAAATTGGATCAGGATGACACAACACGAAGCGGGAAAAGTTGCATAGAGATAGCAAAATTATTATAAAGTTCTTACGACACTCATTGTTAGTAAGATTGTAAGGAAAACATTGGATTAAAGATTTAATCACAAGATTACATGGGCTGAGAAAATAGCAGATCAGTGCGACAAGCGTACGACTCGAAAGCGCTACGCCTTTGCATCCCACTGTTCCATGAGCAGACGTCTACTCATAGCGGATGGATGAATCAATGTTTCAATAATAAGTGTAGAGAATGTTAGTCTTTCTTGACAACAAAAATACTAAACAAATATCTGTTAATAAGTTTTTTTTAAACGTTGTTCCGCTATATATTTACTCAAGCTCGCCTGGTGAGTCATGCGTTGTTTTCCTCAGGCTCTCTGGTTTTCAATCTCTCCTGTGAGTATCAGATTTTCTAAGCCCTCTTTCCTCATTATGTGAAACAGAATAAAATATCGTTAGAAACAAAGAAAAATACTGATGTAATATTGTTCCTCATATTTTGGCAGTGAATGCGGGACAATTTCCTCACAGTTGAAAAGAAAACTTTTGACAGCAGAGCGTTGTTTCTGAAAAAAGGATAAGAATGTCGAGAATACTATGAACAGAGCATGTGAGCAACGAGGACGTTTTTAGGAAAATGAAAACAAGAATGACACTTATACGTCTGGGCTACAAAATGAATGGAAGAAGGCTTGGAAGGAGTGACATTCGCTGTCATCAGTGAGAAGTCTGTCTAGTATACACTGCCATATAAGAGGACTGATAATGCCTAACAGTACAAAGTTAGTTTTCTTTGTTTCTAACGACATTTTCCTGTTTCTGAATACACGTTTTGCTTTTGAAAGGACACTTCTTGCTATTCCAATTAGCCTCCTAGCTTCGGTGGCACGTTTTCTGTCATCTTTTAAAACATTTCCTGGATGTTTAAATTTTCGTACTAGCTGACCTTTATACCTTGGAAAACATTTATTCATATTCATCAACTAAATAAATTAGTAATTTATCATTTTAGAAACGTTTTTCCCATTTCGTATAAAGTGCGTCATTTCATGTGAAAACCCAATATATATATATATATATATATATATATATATATATATATATATATATATATATATATATATATATATATATATCATTAAAGTATTTCTATTATAATAGATTGCAATAAAAAAAACATTTTTACATTGCTACACAAAAACTTTTATGATTCGGATATATAATCGTTTCTCTTCGGGTGATGGCAAATAACATAATAAAGATGATTTATTTAGGAAATTTGAAAACAATCGTTACCTCGTTTGAAAGTTAAAAAGGTGGGCAACCTTATGTCAGAATTCAAGAATATACTTGTGGGCATGTCTGTATTAATGAATTAAAAGCCAATTCTAAGCTAAAATCAAAAATATGAAAAATAAACTCAGAGGATGGAGGGAGGTAAGTTAATGATTCAAATATATATATATATATATATATATATATATATATATATATATATATATATATAGGGGTGATTATTTTATTATAGTATGAGGGAAAGACACAGATACGGTCCAGGCAAAACGTTGTCGGGTACACTTTTCATTTCTTAAAAAACACTTTAAATGTATAAATGTTTGTATTTTTTAAGTTTTAAGATAAAATTTCAGTAACTTCATAGTATTTGCTTTTATTTTTTAATATTTCTCCAGGCTCTCCTTACTACCAATAAGTTCAAATTTTAATTCATCTGTCCCCAGTACAATTTGCTATATCATGAATATTTTGTATAAGAAGAAATTATATTTTGTTTTTCTCATTAACCCATCCAATAGATTTGAAAAAAAAGAACAATATCATTCGATTTTGCAAAGACATGCTATGTCTTCTGGTTTACACCTAATTGGAAAAAAATCACCTTTCAGCAAAACAACGATCCAAATAGCTCTTTGAAATTATGTTAAAATTATGTCTTGGCCGCCTAAATCTCCTAACCACTATACCATTGATTTAGTATGGAATAAGTTGGATACGAGAATGGGTAAAGAATGAGAGCGAGCTTTTTCAGTTCTTGAAGAATGCTTGGGAAGATCTACTTTTTAAAAAATCCTGGAAATAATGTCAAGAATTTGTAAAGCATTAATTAAAGTAAGTGACAGTTTTAATGACGAAAACTAAATATAATGATTCGAGATATCTAATGCTATGGTCCCCGAAGTGTGTCTGTTGTCAAGAGTCTCACTAATTCTGTGAGCAATGGTAGTTAGGACATCAGCAGTGGATCGAACAAAACGAAACACATATTGCTCGTCGTTTTTCCTATCTAGGTGTTCGACGACCTTCTTGTTGATTATAGCCTTAAAAAGTTTACTATACTGAGAGTGGGGAGATCGCTCGCCCGCGTTTTTGAAGAGAAGGCTTACGCATGACACATTCCACCGTCTTGGGAAAGATTTCTCCTTCAAGCAGCGGTTGAATAATTTCGCTAAGATCGGGGATAATTGATATTCTTAAGGACAACTTCTGGAATCTTGTCTGGGCTAGTGGCTTTCTTAGAATCAATGCTTTTGGTAAGTCTTTAGAATTCTCATGTAACTAAAATATTCTGCTCAGTGAGACGTGGGAAGTTGGGAAGAGGATAGCCTTTGTCATCTAACGTGAAGTTCAAGACAAGGATCGAGGTGAAGAGCTTCGCCTTGTCTGTCGAAGTGGACATGACCTCGGGGCCATTTATAATACTAAGCACAGCCGTTTTTCCTTTGTTCATTATTTGGTTGGAGATCTCCCAGAATTCACGGGATCCAGTTTGTTTCTTTTCAACCTTGGCCTGGATAGTTTGTGCGAAGCGACATTTAGCGTTTTCCAGAAATTTCTTGAAGCGACTGTGTGCGGTTCAGTGTATATTACAAGTTATTTTTCATTTTTCCCCCATATCACATGAGAATCAATGATATGTACATGAGCGTGCATTTTAAACTCTTACAAAGGAATTGTGCAAAAATAATGCATAATAATGCCAGTACAAACCAACACATATGGACAAGTATCTCTAAGATAAGACACATTTATTTATTATATGATTATCTATAGTAACTAAGAAAAAAGAAATTGAATATAAGACTTCAAAAATTACATAAGATAACAAAATGATTCGTCACATAGCAAAAAAAAATATATAAATAAAAGTGTCTTGTCACACGTGGGTTAAAATTTCAGATTAAATTTTGAGGTTAAAATTTGTTTGAATCCTGAGCTTTACAGGATGTTTCAAAAACATTGATATCATTAGAGATGTATATGTCTGGGTAACAACATAATGACACTAGGTATATTTCTTGCGATTCTTATTGTTAATGAATAAATCTTATTTTGACTCATACATCAAAATCTGAAGGAGAAATTTTAAAGGTAGGAATTCTCTGTAGATAACCCAAATCGATATATACCTGGTAAAGACCGGGAATTAAATTACAAATTTAAGGATAATAGGCCGAATGTAAATGGTGTCAATGGTGCTTTCACGTGTTTTCAATATGCTCACCGCGCGTGATACATTTTGATAATGACACTTACTAGACCCAAACTTTCGACCTATATAACTATTAGGGTGTCACACATGAAATGACGCATTTTTTTGGTTGGTTGATGATCCGATGCCCTATCGAATTAACCACCTTAGTATATAAAAAAAAAATCTTGACTTGTTCTTGACTCTTTTATTTTTCTTTACAGATATTTTTCTTTCAATATATGCTTACTCATTGGGCACCTTGCGTGTTGTAATGGTTAGCAAGCTTGTCTCGTTAAAACAGATACGACTGAATAGTGAGTTCCAACCTCACTGGGTGCCCCATACTATTGGCCTTGTGCCACATCTAAGCTACACTTGGAAAATCACTATATTTTTACACATATTAAGGAAAATGATTACAATGAAACAATGTCGATTAATCTTGCAGAATGAATACAAACTATGGAGAAAAAAAACTTTTTGGCGACAATAAGAGAGTAAGCAAGTGGTTAGATGCAAGGGAATAACCAAAAAATTACCGAAAACCTCCAATGCATCCTACAAAATTAATGGTTACTGTATGGTGGTCTTTCAAAGGGGTTATTCATTATTCATTTTTGCCTCAAGGCAAAACAATAACAGTAACCGCGTGCTATAGAGAAATTGAGTGTATGCACGAAAAAGAAATATCCTAGACTTGCCCAATTTTCTTGCATGGCAACGCATTCTTTTTGTCATTATTTTGTAAGCAGTTCACTCCAAGAAAGGCGTTGGTGCCACTTCCCGCAGGTGGGGGTTACAGAGAGTGAAATTGAGGGAAGTGAGGCAAGGATAAAACAAGAACGGTGTTCACGGCAACAGAAGATGATGATTGACGCTGCATTTAAAATTTTGAAGATTTTAATTATCAATGAAGCAAGGAAGTGCGAGAAAAGAAACTGCTGGAGTAGAAGTGGCGGTTGAATTTAACTATTTCAATAGTAAAATGGTGGGACCTAAAAGCCAATCTAGTAGCACGCTTAAATTCATTTAGTCGGGGCACCAGGGAAGATAGCTCATCAGAACAGTTGCCATGAAAATATTTGTAGAAAAGACAGAGGAAACCCACATCACGTCTATGAGAAAAAGAATATATATATATATATATATATATATATATATATATATATATATATATATATATATGTCTGTGTGTGTGTGTGCGCGCGCGCACGCGTGTGTATGTCTGTGTAATCTCCTATCGTCCGATTTACACATTTCCCTCGTGAACAGGAATAGAATTGTATCCCTTGTTTCTTGTTTGGGATTGGATTTCCGGTTCTTTTTCTTAAAGCCTTCTAATTTTTACACCCAGTAACCTCTTAAGTCTTAGTAGTATTATCGTTTTGCTTGGGATAAACTTAATTTAAGAAATAGTGTCATTTTTCGTTTGTCTAAGAAGCTCAAACATTATCATAGACAAAATGTACTTTTATTAATTTATTATTTTGTCATAATATCCTCGCAATTATATCCTTATATATTTATTATATATATTAAATGACTAAAATATATTACTTATTAATTTTTTACTGTTACTATTTTGCTAGGCTGATCTTATAAAGTCATTCACTACACTTTATGTGGTATTTTTACTTGCAGCGAGCGGGAAAAAGAATGAACCTCAGTTAAAACGTTAAAAATATTCATAGGAAAATAACTGTAGAAAACAGCCAACGTTTCTCCATCTGCGCAATATGATCCAAGCAGAACTTAGCCACATCCGAATCGCTCATATTTGTGGATAATAAAGTTTATTAATTGAAATCGCGTCGAAACTATCATATGAAAAATGTATAAATCAATTTGAAGCAAAAAAAAAAATGACATGTTTCGCTGGTCAAATAATTAATTAGAAGAATGGATTTTATTTCGACCAAATCTGCATTAGTGAGACAACGTGTGATTCATTTTAGTTGTCATGGCCTGGAGAGGTAAGATCGTTACAGGAGAGTAGATTGAATATGTATTCAAAAACTCAACCTTCCTCTGTTAATTATTGTAAAGCGCTAGTAATATGACTATGGACAAGATGACTGGCATCGGGACATTACGCAAGGAAAGTGGGTTTCATGCTTTTTTATGGAGATTTGTTTTTAATTAATTACTATATAAAGCTTAGTTTTTAGCAAATGGAGACAAGTATCAGGCACCTAATGAGGAACAAACTCTCTGCTAATAGTTTTCAAGACCAACACGTTAATCGTTAGATAAGGCCGAGGAACCTTTGCGAGTGTATAGCGTAAGTCTGATTGAATGGAGGTCACAATTCACAGATTTCGTTTCAGCTGCATAAATTGCTCCAGATACTGTCTGTCCGCTTTTGCTTTAGACTGGTTTTCTTTATCAGTTTCCTTTTCAAGTTGACAAACTCCATATATCTCTGCGTTTCTAATTTCTTCGGGTTTTTTTTCTTTTTATCGTTCACTAAGTAAAGCCTAGTCGTAATTTTTTTTATCTCTTGACCCAAAATTGGGCAAAACGCATTCCAAATAAAAACGTAAACACACACGCACACATATACATATATACACACACACACACACACACACACACACACACACACACATATATATATATATATATATTTGAATTCAACTGCAAACCTAAGAAGGCGAATAAACAACCTCCGTTTACCGCTTTCATTGGGCAAGTAAATATCAATGACCAATAAGACATGATCAGACATAGATATTTGACAATAGCAGAGATATTTACTGGCCCATATCACGAGATAAAACGTGATATAAATATTTCGGCAGATCTTATTCAGTTCTCAACATTGCCTCCACGCACTCTACGCACTAAAGGTTAGTAATCGAATTTTTGCTTTCGTTATATATATATATATATATATATATATATATATATATATATATATATATATATATATATATATATAAGTTTTAAAAATCAGCGGATTCAACTGACCTCCGGTTTTTAAAGTTAAAAGCTCTACATGTTATTGTTACTTTTATTTTATTTTTTTCACACATGTATTGAGCATTCTTTGATACTACTGTTTCCTGGCCTGATTCAACTTTGACCATTAACCTTTTATTAATTATATATATATATATATATATGTGTGTATGTGTGTGTATTTAGGTAGCATCTTTTCATTCATGCAAGTTTTATTAAATAATATAGAAAAGTGTTGTCTATTTATTTTATGTAAAATTTTTTCGTAACGTCTGATAAGTTTAATAACATTATCGTTGAACGAAGAAAGAAATTCACAATATTGATCCATATTTTTTTTTTAATATTCTAAGTTTCGGCTTACATAAGCCATTATCAAAGATGTCAATGTAAACAATGACAGACTATCATCACTGTCGTGTCCGTATATTGTTTAATATGCTGTAATTGACATCTTTGATAATGGCTTATGTAAGCCGAAAGCTTAGATTGTATCATATATATATATATATATATATATATATATATATATATATATATATATATATAGATCGATAGATAGATAGATAGATAGATAGATAGATAGATATTTATATATGTGTGTGTGTGTATGTATAGATGTAATTACATATATATATATATATATATATATGTATGTATGTATGTATGTATGTATATATATATATATATATATATATATAGAGAGAGAGAGAGAGAGAGAATAGATAGATAGATAGATAGATAGATAGATAGATAGATAGATAGATAGATAGATAGATAATGTGGGATAACGATGTATAAAGTTTTGTATATCAAGAAAGGATTTCATCGGTCTTGGTTTGTTTGTTTTTTTTTTTATTAATAATGGGTTTTGTTTTTAATATTTTGGGTATATAATCTAGACAATTTCATTTCGATTCTTTTTTTTTCTTTCTTCTTCTTGCTTTCATCATCTTTGTTATTAAATACCCCACATTGTGATATTAGAAAATCTGTCAACAATGCTGAAACGTTGTAGAACCCTGGACGAAAATTTACTCTGAATGAACTAAAAAGCACTTTGTAAACTTTTTCGTCTTGGTTAGCTATGCTCTATTTTAATTAAAATCACATAATTACAAAAAAAAAAAAAATTTCAAAAATATTTTTAAAATTCCCAGTGTCTCGTGTTACAAGCGCATGTGTAATTGCATCAACATAAACAAACCTCGTTCGATGAAGTCCTAAAACTTTCCACACAAACAGCATTCTCGCCTAGTCATACATTTTTCCAACAATATATATTTTTTGATTTGCCTTGTAACGGGAAGGACTTCAAGCTTGTTGAAGAAATAAGAACCTATTGATCACTACGTATTCCGACATCAACGGAAGAGATTTCTTAAACTGTTTATACAAAATTTTCAATCGACTTTTTAATATTTTAATTTTTTGGAAATCATCTTCGAATACGTTTTAACAACATCGCCCACGTGACGACTACGTGATCATATTTAAACGGAACGCTGATCTGTATAAAATTTCAGTTATCTGTTTGGATTAGTTGGGCTCTTATGTCCATCGTCTTTTGTGTTAAAGTTCTAATGTTAATTATGTTTAAATGAAAATGTCCATGATGATGGTCTTAAATAGACCGAAACGTCCGACGTCGACTTTATTTTAACATTAATCCTACATAATTGCATATTCAGATTTTGTTTGTTTTTTCTGTATTTTTCTTTCATATATATATATATATATATATATATATATATATATATATGAATATGAGATAGAGATATATAATATTTTTATATATGTTTTGACTGGTGCTGCGATAGTATGATATCTACCGAGGCATTTGCGACTTTACGTAAATGTACTTATTATTGCTGGAAAATTCTCAGGAAAAACGATGATCTGTTTACTGTATTTTTTTTGTTGTTTTTTTTGTAATACCATCAAATCAGTTTGCAGACATTAAAATTACTATTTGATGATTTTATTTTTCTGTTTTGTATAAAAAATTGTTAATGATTTTTAATACATAACCATTTCACTGTTCATTGCTTTATACCATAAACCTAACCCTAACCTCTAACCCTAATCTTTAACCACTAACCCTAACAGTAACATATTTCATTTCATACTCCCAACAGTTGGTAAATATCATACCATAGTAGAACATGAATTGTAGATATCATACTATAGTAGAAAATGGACGGTAGATATACTATAGTAGCATGTTTTCCGTTATATTTTGTTATTTTTTATAATAATGGGTTTTCTTTTTTTATAATGTGTTTTCAGTATATAATCTAGCGAATTTCATTTCGATTCTTTTTCTTTTTGTTCCCATCATCTTTGTTATTAAATATTCCACATTGTGATAATAGAAGATCTGCCAAGAATGTTAAAACTTTGTAAGAACCTGGACGCAAATTTACTCTGGGTGAACTAGCGATTAAAGCAATTTATAAACATTTTCGTCTTTCTGAAATAGTTTCTTTCTTAATTAGAGTAGCATATTTTATGTCAAAATTAAGGTCAGTATCGTTATATATATATATATATATATATGTGTGTGTGTGTGTGTGTGTGTGTGTGTGTGTGTGTGTGTGTTATGAAATGGACAAAGTTCGATAATTATTTTAAGACATAAAAAGAACGTATAATCATAAGAAAATGCCTTAATATATATATATAAAAATATATATATACAATATATATAATATATATATATAATATATATATATATTTATATAATATATATATATATATATATATATATATATATATATATATATATATATATATATATATATATATATATATATATATATATATATATATATATATATATATATATTTTTTGTTTATACATTCTTTTTTTAGATACAATATTTAAGTAAATGCTCTGTTTATAATAAACAGTATTTAACAGAGCATTTACTTAAATATTTGTACCTATAAAAAGAATGTATAAACATAAAAATGTCTTTAAATAATTATCGGACTTTGTCCAATTCATAATATATATATATATATATATATATATATATATATATATATATATACTGTCATTTAGTCTACTGCAGCTTTTTCGATGATCCGAGTCTCTGTCAGTCGTTCATAAAAAGCAACATAGCCTTTTTTAAGTAATATTTTAGTAACTTAAATATTTATACGCAAATACAGATTGAATGGCAAGGTCTAATCAAAAAGAAATCTCACTCGATGACTCATACGTCAAAAGTAAACACTAGCTTAGTAAAAAGTGATTTGTAAAATAGCACTTATTCTGACCTGACATCAAGGGCAACATTAGTTTCATTTCAGAAATACAATATGTGTTGTATCTTTATTTATTTAACAGAAAAAGCAAAAGAATTAAATATGTTTAAACAGTGTTGAATTGACACATAAGTTAAATGACGTGGGAAGGGCTCATTTTTAAAAATATATTTTTATTTTATCATTTAGTTTTTATTCTTTAATAAATCATTAATAAATAATAATCATGTATAATTATTTTATTCTTTTTTCAAAGAAGGCTTCGAATTTCATATAACTAAAGAACATAGTAGGTGATCGTTATTCTTGTACCTAAGTGTTTTTTAAGGTAGTTTTATTTACTGTCAATAATGCTTTTGTTAAATTACTATTTTGTCAAGTCTTTACTATAATATGCTGGCAAATATCTCCTTATATGATTAAAAAAATATCTTAATATTTAAATTCTCACTATTAATTTCTGCACCCCAAAATAAAAAGAATTTATATTTACTAAAATCACACCAAATTATCCAAGAGCGAGGCCTCTGTTATTGCACTCCGGTTCGGTTGACCTTTGCGAGCGCCCCAAATGTGAGTGCGCTATTTCTAAACGTGGGGTCTGCATTCGCACTCACCACGATAAACGAGCCCAATACAGTTTTTTTTTTTCCTTTTTTTAATTGTAAAAGAAATCCTTGTAAACATCTCGAATCTGTACTTATGAAATGTGAATAAATCCGTGATTTTTGGCATTTTTTTCCATTCTGGCGATTGGATTTGTTGCGAGGCATACTAAACAAATTTTGATGTAAAATTTGAAAATTTCAACAGAATGTCCAAAATTTAATAAAAAGCAAACTTTGATTTAAAATTTATAATTTCTTTGGGTGAATTAATATTTGCGATAAGCAACTTTACATTATTTGAGGTGAATTAACAGAAAAGATCCAAAATTTTGCTGTTACTATTTAGTTATGTTTATTCTCTTCATTCCCAAAATGGGTTGTATGCACCACGGGGAGGAGCGGATTTGATTTTAAGGGAATGAGTTTTAAGAGAATGTATTATTAGCACTGAATTTTTTCTAATGAGTCTGAGTGGGGGAGTATATGCGAGTTATTAATATATGTTATATTATATTTATTATAAAACAGAGCATTTACTTACATATTTGTATCTATAAAAAGAATGTATAAACATAAAAATGTCTTAAAATAATTGTCGGACTTTGTCCATTTCATTATGTATGACGTCATTTGTTTACATTTGATACGCCATGAGCAGATATGAATGTACGTGAGAGATTCATGGAAGATTGAAGTTTAAATACAGTAAATTCGACCTTGCTAACCGAACGCTCTTCTGTGGCCAAATCGGTTAAAGGCACGTCAAGCTAAATGACGGTTCACAATAGCATACAGGTTCGAATCCTGTCGCAGGACGAATATTTTCTATGAAAATTTTTCGGACATTCAGGCTGGTAAATGTTGTTTAATACTGTTTATTATAAACAGAGCATTTACTTAAATATTTGTATCTATAAAAAGAATGTATAAACATAAAAATATCTTAAATATATATATTTAAAGAAAAACAGACCACTTTAAGGTTCCATTATAATAATTTATTTCAC